AGCGAATGCCGGGAAGAAGAATAAGGTTGATCATGTGAGATGAATGAGAGGCAACAGATAGTGAGCGAAAAGTACTGCATGGCACCTACGTGATATTGAATAAACTGAATAAAATGAAAGGCTATCCCACGCGCCAGGAAGAATTATGCGGTTGAAAACGAGAAGCTGAAGAGTTAAAAGTTTTAGCAGTTGCGAAAAGGAGCGAATGAAATGAAATAATAGCTGATGAAAGTATCAGGGCAAGTAGGTCCATGTGCCTTTTGTAATTTAATAAAAACTCGCATGCCTGCATATTGCACATCTTCCAGGTCTGTTTTACATCTCCAGGTATGTGCAAAGCTTTGCGAACTTTTTTGCTGTTCATATAATTTGTGATCACCGAGTCATTGATACAGCTTTTCCCGTACAGTACAGCATTTTTCTGAAACACGTTGACAAAACCAGTTATTTTTTTCAAAGACGGATTTGAAAAATTTTTTGATAGAAACTTTTTCAGCACTTTCAAAAAAATTGTGTCGCCCAAGTAAGAAATTTTGAAATTTGCATTGTCATAACTCAAAAATTTCAAGTGGCCATACATGAGAACCATGCATACCTGGAAATTAAATTTGAAAGTTTTGGTTCGAACGTGACAGGAAGTATCTCACAAAAATTACAGCTTCCTGCATGCCTAGTTCCTAAATTAGCAATTTGAGTCATGGCTCGAAAATTCTTATACACCCGCACAGTCTTTGTACACTTCCGAGAAAGATATGCAAGAAACACAGTTTTGAGCTACATGAATACAATCAGTATGCGTTGCCTGTACGATGCACGCATGTTGCCTTTTTATGGGGGTCTCAATTCCATTTTTTGGCAATAAAGATGATGACAGCAATAATATTACTTAATAATAACAGTAACAATGCTGCTGTTAATTATAATAAAGGATAACCAGTGCTAAAATATGTTAGCAGAGACGCCTCTTTCTGCCTACTTCTCATTGGTGGAAAGAAAAAAACTGAGGTAAATCAGTGGCTTCTAAGAAATTTATATTATCATCCAGTGTGCACTAATTTTTGAGGCGAGCATGTGCCCTGTGCATTGCGCACATTTTGCTTGTTAATAGCCCCTTTTGTAAATAAATAGAACCGAATGCAGAAGAATAATCGAATTTCTAAGTTACACTAAGTTCAACGTAATGCTTTACCATGGCATTGTTGGCCTATTTTCTTTTGAAAATTAGCAAAATAAAGGAGAGTATCATGTGTAGCATATGTAAGCAGACAAGTTTGGATGCAGAAAGTTTTGCGAGTATTTTTAGTAGTTTTCCTGGATTTTTATGCGTTTTTACTGTGCAGCACTATAGCGCTACTGTTGTAAGCAGAAGCGCATATTGGTAAGGAGCTATCTGTGCATGTGTACGTATGTGTGTGTGTGTGTCTACGTGTGTCTGTGTGTTTGTGCATTCGCCCTTTTTGTCACTTACTCACAGAGAAGCTAGAAAGCTGAAACATCGGGAGCATGCGCGCATTCCCTGTGCTACCTTCCCATTTTAATATCGTACATGCCCAGGTTCCACGTACGGATGTCTCAAGAAAATATGCAGACTTTTTGGTAGAAAACTGCTAACTGGGAAACCAGAAAAGCTGGGTAGCTGATATTTTAAGGGGAAGTCCCTCATATACCTACATCTTCAAGATTCCAAACTCATTACCCGGGTGCGTGCAGTACTCACATACGAGCATGGGAATGTTTTGGCAGAAGAACTGGTCAATGAACAGCTAGGTCTTTTTCAAGAAACGACCGTTAAAAGGAAATTACTCACTTTCCCTTAAGCAAAATTTACTATGATTTACGCTGATGAGCACACAAAGTAAACAGAAGGCAACAACCATTCATACACTTAATGACACTGCTTCAAGTCTAATGCAAAAGCGCATGATCGCAATGTCAAACTTGAGCGTTCTAGCCTGGGGTTTCCTTCCTTCGTAAGGTTTGAGCAAACAACGCTTTTGTGGAAAATCGAATGACGAGGAAAAACAAAGACGTTAGTTTAGGTTTACAAGTGGCTAACCATAAATTTATTACGCCTTCGCTTACCTCTGCCGGACCAAGGAACTTATAGCCAACGAGACTAAGTCCCGACTTTTCTGCCTGGAGCTGTAGATTTGCCGAATTTGGGCTACAATCACGGTAAATATCAAATGGATTTAAACCGGAATTCCAAATTTCTGCATACATGTCATTTACCTAAAAAAACTGCTTTCTTGTGGCATGCTAAAAAAGTTCAGTGAAATATCACCGCTTAATTAATATTCATTATAAATTAATTTATTTCAGGACATTTTGAATAAAATTGTTAAGTAAATGTTGCCGTTTTCGTTAAACTAGCCAGGTATGCGTAACTGTTTTAAGGATGACATCATGGAGTTTTAATTTAAACAGTTCGCCAAATGTATGTTCCATTTAGAGTTTTTCCTGAATAGAATTTCTCGCTATGCTGCCGACCAACAGAAGCTTTTGCTCTTTTCATCCCGTTACAGAGTGAGGCGTTTTGAAGTAGGCCAAGTGGAAGAAACATATTAACAGCAACCGCTTGTTAGCAAAGCTGCTAATATCTTCTTTTTTTTCGAAGGCTACTTGAGAGCAAAGTGGAGATGGTTAGATAAGTTTGAAACGCAAAAAATGTTGTGAAAGTCTTGCAAAAGAAGTATGTGCATGCAAATAGACATATAGCATACGTACGAGCTCCAAATTTTATGCGGAGCATAGCGGCAGGTGCTGCAATGGAAAGACATTGCCCATAAAGAGGTTTGGTTCATTCCCCTCCCGATTAAGAACAGTTTTCGAGAGAGGACTCCGTTCGTAGCAGTAGACGTAGTAAGGTTATCAACGCTGTGGATTAATGAGAGCTGATTTCCCACATATGGATCTAAGTCTATAAAAGCGTGCATGCTAATGCTACACCAGATGCGCCATCACAGAATAAATGAAGGCTTTGAAAAACTTTAGCAATCTGAGGCCACTAAACCGTAACTCGAAATGACGCGTGCAATTTTTCGTAAATTAGCAGCGAATAATAAAATATTCCGCAAAAAAAGAACAACTTACGGCAGTGAGACAGGGCCCCCGGAGTCGGCCGGGCCTGAAGTCGCAACCATCTTCACAGCCATGGCAGCAATCTTCCACAAAATTGTCCCAGTCGTGCTGATCAATCAGAGCATGCTCGTATGCATATATTAGTGACGTGTGGATATTAAGCACTTCATGAAGAAATGGATTTCCCAATGCTAGTCCCTTCAATTTTCAGCAAACTTTAAACGATTCCAAAACTCTCAAATGGCTTGAAACAATCTTAATTTCAGGGATTCTAACATTTTGAGCTGCTTGCAAAATATGCCTTGATTTTGCTTTATACGAGTCTTTTTACAATGAACTGCTTCCTCACTTATACCTTTAACTAACACGTTGCACAGCTGTACATGTCTATAGTCATATTTTTCTGGAATTTTACATACTCCCCAAACTGCAGCAGTCAGCTTCAAAAAAGCTACATCGTGGAAGCTGTTGTAGCCGATTGCCAGTGAATTGTTTTGTTTAATTCATGAATTGATTGGGCAAACCGATGGTGCTTTGTCGCCACCCCAAAAAGCTTTTGCCTTTGACTTTGTTTGCTTTATTCATCCGTGTTTATGACCCTTGACCAAAGCCTAACTGTACTTTGGCCATGGGCGGATTCAGTGTGGTTTCCTGGGGGATGGATAAGGGGTACCCAACAAATTCTTGTACAGTAAAACAACTGATATCTAAGTTCCTGGCGGGAATGGATTCACCAGTGACTTTGGCCACATGCAGTACTTGAGAGTATGGGCTTCCTCAGCATGTGTTTGTACAAGCAGACTTCCAAGCTGCACAAAACTGCTAATTTCGACTACTTCTGATGTAACTTTCTGCCGCTTCATTTGCGTGCTACGTTGCTCTACGAAGGAGGAAATAATACGAACCTTCAAATTGAATTTGTTGTCTTTGCCATTTTTCAGAATATGGACTGCAAGCACTGGAACAAAAATGCCTGCGTAGCTTTCACCCATTAAATACAGTGGATTTTTGAGAAATTTTGGATGCTTTTTGAAAAAGTCTTTGATTGCATCGTAATTTTCCTTTATTGTCTGCAATCGAGATTTCACTAACAGGCATGTTTCTGTTCGCAATGCTATCAGTGAACTTCGCTAAATCTTATCAAATAGATTTGTCTTGGTCTTAATGCAGCGCTTGGGCTGTACAAAAAAGTGTTAAATAATGGGACGGAGAGCTTCGATGGAGTCATGTGTTATTACGTTTCTAGGTAACCAGGTTGGTTCTTTGAGGAAAGGAACTTCGCTGAAGGATCTTCGCTTCTTTCAGAAGTAGAAAGATGATTATTGCAGTGAATCTCGGAGATAAGTAATTTCTTAATTTTTCGTTTGTGCGGTAAGATGCCAAGACAGCTCAAATTTTAAAAAAGCGAAACTTTAAGCCGTACTTTCCAAAATATTGCTCTCTCCTCACAGGCCCTACAAGTGGCTCTAGAAATAAAAGCATTCGTTTTACCAGGTGTTAGTGATAAATGCTACTTCTCAAAAATTGTTGAAATGAAGATTTTCGTTGGTGATACATGAAAAAATTTGTCATTTAAAGCATGCATGAAAATTTTAATAAAATCGAATTTGGTATTAAAAAAAATATTAGTTAACAGAACAGGAATGCTCCGGTCCAATGAGTCGCATATTTCTTTTTCAGTTCATAAGTGAATCTCGTCAGACAAAGGTTTCCGAGTTGATTAATTAAAATTAATTAAACATATTACCTCCGCGTCGCTGTACTTGATTTTTTCCCGTTTATTAGTGGAATGCGAGAAACCAACACCAACAGGTGATTCGACAAAAGCTATAGATGCCATCTAAAATCAATCATTATTTTTATTACACTCTTTCATGATTCTTTTCGCTTTTTCTTCTTCCTGTCTTTCCTTTTCCTTTTTCTTCTTCTGTTAGCATTATCTCCTCTCACTTTCTGTTTTTGTTCTCTTTTCCTTTTTTTTCTATTCTTTTCTCTTCTTGAAGCATTGCAATCGTTAGACTGACGAGATCCTGTTGCAGTGTTGAGTTAAAGCTTCATAACTTAAAGGACCGGAATGTTTTACTTCACTCTCTCCCTCTGCTCTTGTTTTTCTTTCTTCCCTGCCTAATTCCTGTTTCTTAATGCATTCAGGCTGGGCCGGACTGCTCCGAATTAATTACTTGATTTGATATTTTGAAAGTTTCTCTTTATGACTGGTAACTGGGCAATCAAAAGGAGCCTGTGTGACAGCGCATCACCAATGGGCAACCGGTGAAATGTTGCTGAGGGCTGGTAATGCAACAGACATGCAGCAGTCAGAAATTCTTGAGAATGAGTTTAAAGCCGAGCAAACAAGCAGATCAGTTGAAGTACCCGAAAGTAGCCAAACCTTATGCCACGAGTAAGGATTTAGTTGCAAATGTCCATTTTGCGCGAATTCGAATGGACCAATTGCATTGAGAAGTGCCACCACCGACGAACATCCTGGCCCACCGCTGAACCATATTATTAGCGGTTTTTTTGTCGCATCTTTATCCGACTCAACGAACCTGGATGAAATTTTTCAGTAATTTCATCACTTATACTTTTACGTTTTATCGTGGACTGCTAGCATGCAGTTGCAAAAAGCATACTGGCATTTCCCAAAAGTGCCTCCGGAAAGATTCTTTTTCTACGTTATTTCCAGAGATGAAATATGAATTGGATTTTGCCTTTTGAAAGGCAGTAAAATTTCATTCTAATTCTTAGCAGTAAATTTTGCATCACTGGTGCTTTTCACCTATAACTAGCAAATACCGAAGTCATTAATTTGTAACGTTTTGATTAGCTATTACTGATAGGGGCAGCAGTTCTTCCAGTTTGTTTAAACAACGCTGCATAGCCTACTGACAATCTTGGTTTGTTTTGACTCCTGGAGGGAATACCAGCTCAGTGATTCTTCGCTAGGCCTTAGCAGTTTCGAAACTTTCTTACACTGAATGTTTCCACATCTAGCTCATAGTGAGGTGTTTTGCAAAAAACAAAAGTTGAAATTTTAGGGCGATGTATGAACACGAGATAAAGTAAAATTCGACAGCAAGATATGTTGTTCGCTTTGTTGAGGGAAGAGAATGGTGTCATATTAGTGAATATTTTCAGTGACGAGAAAAACGAGCTCTGAGAAGTAGGGCACATATATAAAAATAGGCCTGGAACTCAAGATAGGACACGTTACTCAACATTCTAAACCCGTTTGAGGCACATCACTAGCATATGAATGACCGAATGCACCGGTAAGAGCTTTATTTTAGCCTTAGCTGAAATGCCCATGTTAAATGTGATGACACTGTAGCAAATCGTTAGCTTAAAAAAATAGCTAATATATTTGCCCAGAAATTACAGGCAGTAATCTTCCTATGATTTCAACCACACGCGCAAACTCCTTGGCAACGTTATGAGTGCTTTTGTCTCAGCTTTTGCTGAAATGGCAAATGTATCAGTTGAAACAGATGATATTCGGTTGCGCACCAGTAGAAGAGTTTATGTGTGGCAGAAGCTTGGAGGAAGCCGGAATGCTGCGTGAAATTGATCAGAAGCCTTTCAGTTCCCGGCAATGATCCGACCAGCTCAGCGCCGCCATGCCGCATATTTCCAGCAGCAACAGCAAACAGAATGAGCCACCACCTCATCGCAACCTTGCTGCAACAAACTGTTACAAAATACCCCTGGAACGGATTATTTTCTAATTTATAATACCCTGTTGCAAATTACTTATTGCATATATGTAATTATCACGCTGATGGTGAAGAAGTCATCAGCGATGCAGCGAACTATCTCACAAGACATTGTATGTGCTAGGAAATATAATGTAAGTTGCATGAGAATTTTACATATAGAAGACCAGATCAGTTTTCAGTCTGTGTTTCATCATTTAACTGTAAATAGAGACAAAGTTTTGGGTACGAGTGGGAGCAGGAATCATCAGTACAGCCTTCCATCGACAGTGTAAGAAACAAGTGTATTTTACCGAGCAAGGTCAGTACAGGGAGAGCTTTCAGAATAGAAGTTGCCTGATGAACGCATTGTGATTTTGGGCACAATATACTACTGAATGGGTACCATTCAATCGAGAGAAAAAGTGCGGATCAAAAGCTGAGCGGCCGAGTGGTGAGACAATGGATGCATAATAAGGACTTTTGAATAACACCCAATGCAAAGTGCTGGCCAGTCGTGTGGCCAAACAATAGACGGATAAAGCGGATTCTTGAATGTTAATCAAGCAGGGTTGAACGAATGCATGAAGGCGTTTTTTTAAAACTGAATTTGAAATATTTAGATCACATGTTGGCAGGGAACATCTCTTTCAAAATTTCTGCCTTCTAAGTCATCTGGTTCCCGGATTAATAATTATTCTGTAAAAGCTTTCACGCGCCTGTATACGACAACCAAGAGCGCTGAAATCTCCAAGTTGCTGCTGGGACAGAAGTTACGGGTGC